CCTCCTTCTTCTTCTTGAAGTTCTTCTTCTTCTTCTTCTTCTTCTTCTTCTTCTTCCTCTTTTTTTTTTTTCTTCTTCTTCTTCTTCTTCTTCTTCTTCTTCTTCTTCTTCTTCTTCTTCTTCTTCTTCTTCTTCTTCTTCTTCCTCCTCCTCCTCCTCCTCCTCCTCCTCTTTCTCCTCCTCCTCCTCTTCTTCTTCTTCTTCTTCTTCTTCTTCTTCTTCTCCTTCTCCTTCTCCTCCTCCTACTCCTTTGTTACATGCACAGATATGCAATGTACGTAATAAACCGAGAATCTGCAATGTGATGAAAAGGACAGAATAGACAATGCGGTACGAGTAGAATCTCGACAAGCAATGTACATTCTCATTCATACATAAAGATGCTGAAGAGCGCAGGGAAGACTTTGAAGCAGAATGCTAGAGTACCTGTAACTAGCCCAATCAATGTTTGAACTCAGACTAACATGCATTGTATCCATCATGAAGTGTGAAGGAGCCTGGCGCTGCACACAGGAAGAAAGCGCCAGGTCCAGACATACACAGACGAAGAGATAAGGGGCAGACGAAAGGAGGGAAGAAGATGGGAATGTCGTTAACACCAAGTCTTGGTCACCAATCCCAAATAGTCCCTTGTTGCCATGTCTGAATCCCCGAAAGTCAAGTCTGGATCAAATGTCACCAAGCTTTGTATCTCTTCTCTCATAGTCTGCAGATGCAGTGAAGTAAGAAGTGAGAGGGAGAGAAGAGATGGTGGACTGAGCAGAAGAAGAAGAAGAACTCTCTCTCTCTCTCTCTCTCTCTCTCTCTCTCTCTCTCTCTCTCTCTCTCTCTCTCTCTCTCTCTCTCTCTGTTGCGAACCAAGTACTAACTGTGATGTTGGCGCTGTGCTGCAGGTACCTCGAAGACGAAGCTGGAGCAACGGCGCTGCAGGTAGGTACCTCTGGCCTCCGCCCAAGCTCTCTCTCTCTCTCTCTCTCTCGAGTACTAACTAGCTATGGCGCCCAGCGCTGGAGACTACAGCTACCTACTGCGCCCAGCGATGAAGACTACAAGCTAATGCTACTACTCTACACTGCAGCGCTCCCTCCAGAGTGCTGCTCCCGAATCCTGAAGACTACAACTGTCGAACTGCCTCCCTCGGAAGTGCCTGGAAAGTCCTATGTACTACCTCGGCCTGCCTCCTGACTACTGGAGGGCAGTCAGGCCGAGGAGGCAGCTCTTGCCAATGCCGAAATGTGCCAGGGGCTGGCGTGCAGCAGCCTGCTTGAGGCTGGCGTGGGAAAAGGACAAATAATAGTCTGTTTCCGAAACCCTGGTTCGGTGCCTGAGTTTCAGGGCCGCTCGTTCTGATGAACGACCAAAAATGGCCCTTCGTTTTAGGCTAAAAAGGTTGTTGCCATTTTTAGTCTGAAACGACGAGGGATAGGTTCTGGACTTCAGGCTTTTGGCCTGAACCGACAGGGGGCCTGTAAGCCCTAGATTTCAGGCTTTCAGCCTGAAATTCAGGCTTTCGGCTTGAAGTTGAGGCTTTTGGCCTGAACGCTGTCGGGCCTGCAAAATGGGTGTGCACGCGCTGCATGTAACACCCCCCTCTCCTTATGAAGTCAAGCTGGGGCGAGGGCGAAGCCGTCGATCTGAAGGTGGAACCTGGACGCGGGCGGGGCGTGGAGCCGAAGCAAACGGCTTGCCCTGCATCTTGCGTTTGTAGCGTGCGAGAACGTCTGGAGCTGTCGCTTGCAGTTCCGCACGGGTTAACCAACGGTCAGCTCGATGTGTGCAGTAGGCAAAATGCACCAAATACTCAGTGGCTTGTTGCCAAAGCGTCGCTGGGAGATGATGTCGCCAACCTCCTGAAAACCATCCATAGAAGGTGGGTCTTGCGTCCGTCTCGCAAGAAAGTCGTCATGATCCGTTGGCGTGTAGAGAGCCAGTTTGGAGCAATGAAAGACTGGGTAGACAGGCAAGTGGCTAGGCACCTGAATCGTGAAGGAGGGTCCTTCGGGTGCGTCCCGAACGGTCTCTATGATCGGCCAAGGCCCCATCCATTTCGAGAGGAGCTTGCGAGAGACGTCTTGTTCAAGGCTGAATTCCGCTGTTGAAACCCAAACGAGGTCTCCGGTGCGGAATGGACAAGGAAGACGCTGGCGATTTGCCTGTTGGCGCATGCGTTGTTGCGTCTTAGCCATCTGGTCGTGTGCCTTGACAAGAAGCTCTTGCATCCGGCGCAATAAAAGAAGATGGTCGTCGCTCTCGGCCTAGCGTGAAGTAATCGTGTCCAACGATGACGTGACCGGCGAGCCGTGCTCGAACTCGAAGGGCGATATCCCAATAGCTGGGTGGATGGAAGAGTTGTAGGCCAACTCAACGTCCGGCAGTCACTCAACCCAGTCTTTCTGGTCGGGGCGGATGAGAGTGCGAAAGAGAACGTGTGCGGTCTGATGCGCCCTCTCCGTCTGGCCATCGGTCTGAGGGTGGCGAGCTGAACTGGGCTTGAGAGATGAGCCCCATTGCTTGATGAGCGCCAACCAAAAATCAGACATGAAGCGAGTGTCGCGGTCGCAGACGATCACCTTGGGGTAACCCTTGGTGCGAATTCAACCGGTGTACAGAACCTCGGCCAACTCCGGTGCCTTGGCATGATAGCGACAAGGCAAAAACATGGCGAACTTGGTGAGTCGGTCGACCACCGTGAGAATCCCATCCACTCTGGTCTTGTGCTTGAGGAACGGGCTGGTGATGTCCATGGCAATCGCTTCCCTTCGCCTCAACGAAACTGGCAATGGTCGTAGCTCACCGTACGGACGATGGTTGCGGGATTTGCAGCGTCGACAAACCTCGCATGACTCGCAATAGCGCGTGACGTCGCCGAGAAGGCCGGGCCACCAAAATCGCTGGCGAAGCCGGCCAATCGTGCGATTGACTCCAAAATGTTCGGTGCCGGGAGCGTCGTGGAACTCGCCAAGAAGTCGTGTACGCAAGTGAGGATCACTTGGTACGCAAAGAAGGTCCTTCCCCTGCGTGTGGACAAGCAAGTACCCCTCCTGGATCCGGTAGTGAGAAGGAGCTGGATTAGGCGAGGAGCAATTCACGTACTTGTCGCGAAACTCGGGGTCGGCTTGGTAACCGCGAATGAAGCTGTTCCGCAGGTCATCGTCAATCCCAAAAGTCGAGTAGACCGCGGTACAGTGATCCGGACGTCGTGAAAGAGCATCCGCAAAACGGTTCGACTTCCCGGGACTGTGATCGGGAAAGAAGTCGAACTGGTCAATGAAAGTCATCCATCGAGCGATGGTACTGTTGATGGTGTCTTGGGTCTTGTAGAAGACCAACGGATTGTTGTCCGTTACTCAGCGAAATTGGCTTCGACCAAGGAGGAAGTGCCACCACTGCTTGAGCGCGTGGACGAAGGCGAGGAGCTCCTTCTTGCGTGCATCGTCAATGGAATGCACGAGTGGCACTTTCTTGCTGAAGTACTCGATCGGCTGCCAGTCCACACCATCATGTTGCTCGAGGACTGCACCAATGCCATAGCCTGACGCATTCGTAGTGACACGTGTAGGCGCGAGGGGTCGTATATCCACAAGACCTCCGCATACAATAGCGCGGCTTTGAGAGCGAGGAATGATCCCCGCGCCTCCTCTCCAAAGTCAAACGGTCGATCCTCGCACTGAAGCTTGTTCAAGTGGGCCGCGATCTTGGAGTAGCCGGTAAGACCGAGGAACGAGCGGACATCTGTGACGTTCCGAGGCTCCGGCCACTCTTGGACGGCCTGAATCTTGTCCGATAACGGACTGATGCCGTCCGGTGTGACAAAATGGCCCAAGTATTCCAGCTCTTGCCGGACAAATTCGCACTTGTCACGGTTGGCCTTGTACTTGGCACGGTGGAGCGTCTCCAACACTCGTCGAAGATGTCCAAGCTGATCCTCCAATGTCCGACTGTAGACGAGAATATGGTCTAAGTAGACCAGCACGAATCGGTCCAACATTGCGCGGAAGTCATTGGTCATCGCCGCCTGGAATGTCGCCGGGGCGTTGGTGAGGCCAAAAGGCATGACCACCCACTCAAAATGCTCGTACCGCGTCTTGAATGCGGTTTTATAGCGATCATTCGGCTGAATCGAGATTTGATGATATCCTGATTTCAAATCCAACTTGGAAAAATACTTCGCACCGCCCAGCGGCTCGAGAAGATCGTCGATGCGAGGAAGAGGCCCCGCATTCTTGACGGTTTGCGCGTTGAGCTTGCGGTAGTTAACACACAATCGTAGATCCTTGTTCTTCTTCCTGACGAAGAGATCTGGTGCTCCATATGGGGAGCTACTTGGGCGGATCCAACCCTTGGCCAACAAATCATCGAGCTGTGCGCGGAGTACCTCAAGCTCCTCCTCGCTCATCCGATAGATGCAACCTTTCGGCCGCACGGCACCGACCTCAAGAATGATCTCGTGAGAGATCAGCCGACCCGGCACCACACCGGTAGGTGACTCGAAGATGTCGGCGAACTCGTCCAGCAACCGTACCACATTGGGGTCCGAAGACAAGTCTGTGGGTGAAGAGTCGGCTACCGCGACGGTCCGTAGGAAACATATGCCGATCTCCTCGGGCTGCTCGTAAGCACAAGTCGCCCGGAATGATTTGGCCGTCACCACTTGGCACCGGATCGAAGAGTACGGTAGAGGAATCGTACACGCCACTTCCGCGCCGAAGGCGTCGCGAACGCTAAGAATCCGCCAATGGAAGTTGACCGTGTGATCCGCACTTGCAAGCCAAGGCATTCCCAGAATGATGTCGAAATCCTTATCGAGAATATCAAATGTCACCGGTTCGCATGCATGAGGTGCGAAGTAGATCGATACGGCCTCGATGTAACGGTCGAGTAGTTGCTGCGTCTTTCAATCCGCCAACTTGGTTGCCGTCGGGTTTGCCTTTCTCCGAACTTGTACGCTAAGGCCAACTCTTTGCATAAAAGACTGTCTCATGAAGTTGCGAGTCGCGCCGCTATCCAGCAAAGCGCTATAGGACGCTTGCCTAACCCGGATGCGGACATACATGAGCGGTGCATTGTTGTTATCGTACCGCTGCGTGCGAAACTCGTGGGCCACCTTGGTAACGTACGCCAGGATGTCCCCCACCGCGACTTCGTCATCCGTCGGCGAAGTTGGTGGTGCATAGAAGGAAAGGTAAGTGTGGAGATGAGCGCTAAGTCTTGCGCATTGCGGTCCCGGCAAACAGCCTGTGGTCGGGAGAGGAAGCCATGCAAAGTCCTCAGACGTGAGCGGGTCCAAAACCTTTATCTTGAACTCGCGTGCCGAATCCCGTGACGAACCACTTGAAGACGATATGTCGCTGTTGCCGGACGGAGAAGAAACCGCACACACTCCTTGTCCTTGAGCTTGAGTACCCAGCGTTGGAACGAGTCGGGCAGCATAGTCCTCAAAAGAAAATAGAAGC